TATATATATATATATATATATTATGACGGAATAGTGAAACTTAAAAGTAGTAGTATTTATTTTTACAAATAATATTTTATACACGTTTACGTATATGTAGCATTTTTTAATTACATACATATATATATTTTTTAACTTTGATATTTCGTTTTTACCTAACGATTATTTTATCTTAGAATACAAGCTCTATTGCTACATCGATAAAAATGTGATAATTATAATCATTATTCATTGCTATTTTTGAACCGTAAAGCGCCGAGTTCCCTCTCACTTAGAATAATAATAACGTCACGGTTGAGGAAACCTTCGAGTTTTATAGCGCCGCTGATAATTATTTTACACACTTTTAACACTTTCTAAATAAATATCTGATAAATTTAAAGTGTTAATGAAACGCGCATTTAACGTTAAAAACCTCCCGATCATATCCACTTTAGAAAAATCTGCCCGAAAGCGTAGTGTAAGTGCGGGAAATGTTGAATTAATTATTGGTATTTCGTCTGATTTCAGTTTATCTTCATGATCAGCGCTACGCTCAACAGATGGATCAAGCAAGGCAGTACGATGATCTCAGAGGTGAGTGGGCTCAAATATGAATAGAATATGTGCATAATTGTATGTTAAAGTACCGCACGCCTTGAGAGAAGGCAGACAAGTCGGAGATTTCAACGACGCAAATCTCGCACAAGCGTCGCACTTGGCTTGTAATTCTTGCGCGACTGCCTTAATACATGGTTATGACAACCGGTGTTTATCATTTATCATTCAACTTTGTAGTCAATTTTATTACGGAATTATACGCTTTTAGGTGCATTTTGTAATCGAAGTTTATTTTTGTAATATTTTATATTACAAAAATATTTTTCTTTAAATAAAGAGGATAGCAATATATTTTTAATATTTTAATACTTATGTAATCATATATAATGTATGACTAGAGAAAAATGATTGTAAATATTTAGTAACATTGTTTTAATGTTTCGTATCAACTCTTCCTTTCTAATAGACGAAAGAACGTATACTTTATTTTAGAACATAATTCGCAACTTTCACTTTCGTGGTTTCTACGAGAGCGGATGTTGAACATACCTACGCATATCTTTTCTTAAATCAATGATATTACAAAGCGATTAATATGATGTTAATAATTAGCAAGTTTCTTTTAAATTATATATGTTCCATTTCTTAATGCGTGAAATTACATTATAAAGATTTCCTAATGGTAATATTATAGAGAAAATAATACACATATATTGTTTTATATGAAATGTGTATTGTTAATATTTCTTATAATAATATTTATAAGAATTTCGTTATCAGAACTCGTTTCGGAAATATATTGAATATACCACGCTAATCATTTCTGATCTGTAAATAATTTTTATATTATTAGCTATTAAAACCCATTCTTCTATTATATAGACGAGATCGAGAAGCTTAAATATAGGTTCGTGATCACAACGACATTGACCTGTTTCTCACTGTTTGGGATGTTATACCTCCTGGGAAGGACCTTAATACGATGGAAAAGAATTCAGAATTCTTTACAAACTCTATTCAGGAGAAATCTCAAAGTAAAGGTGAGAATTCACGAAGAATAAATCTTTCTAAGAAGGTTGTCATTCTTACTGCGACAGATTCTTTCTTCAATTTAAATATAACGCGGAATTTATAACGCGGAAATAAAATAACATACGATTTAGCAAAAAAAAAAATAACATACGAAATTTATTCTACGAAAAATTTTTCATATTCTTTTGCGCTAATTTTTGCTAAAATTTTCTCTTTCTTGCGAAGCAAATATTACAGCTTTTAATTTCATCGTTGGTTCCTCAGGCGGCCAATAAGAACAGAGTGCAGGACGACGTCGAGGCCGCTGTGAACAAGCAAAACGGTGGTCTCAAGTTGACTATACCGAGCATAAGTGCCACGGTGGAGGCAGAATCCAAGATCGAGAACAATAATAGCAGCAGTAATAACAGTAGCAGTAACGGTAGCAGTAACACTAGAAGTAACAAGATTAGCACACCGAACACCGTGAGTACGTCTCTCTCAAGGCGATATGCCAGCGAGGATACCACTCTCGATTACGCTTACGATAATCCGGCGATGACACCGAGCCCGGAAGCTGCGCAGCTCAAGATAAAAGCTCGTGAGAGCTCATTTTAACACCAGGGACTTTGGACATTTAACATCGATAGGAATATGTACAGAGAGTTACTCGTGACTTTTCTTGAAAACTTGAGTACTTCAAATTTAAAAGAGCATTGAGAAATAAATATTCGCTTGTTTTAAAACTATTGCTATTTGAAGTTTTAAAAGGGAAGTTGAAGAACCACGTGATGAAAACAATTTTGTGATAATTGCCTTTGTGGAAAAAAAAATATATATATATATATTAACTAGAATGTATTGAGGAAAAGAGCTGCCTTATTGAGAATAATTCTAACTCGAATAATTCTAACTTAAGCGGGCAGGAAAGTGAAAAAAAGGATGTGGCAAAGCGTATATGTGTGGAATGTGACGTGGCTATTCTTATTCTATGAATAGCCATCTTGAGATGTTTCGTAAGATTTTTCACGTTTTTTACAAACGGTTTTTCAAGATGCATTGTTGTTGCATATTGAATACATGTAACAGTGAGCAATCGAATGCGAAATCATTCGATGCCACTTCTTTGTCTTTCTTAAATGCTCGCGCGACTTTCAATGTAAGTTAAATAGTTTCTAAGTGTGACATTTATAACTGATAGTTCCACGAATAACCACGGTCTCATAGAGAATAATTCTGTTTCTACATAATTTTTTTGCTTCCTCATAATTACTGAATCATTAAAACGCCAAGTCATGACACGAATGATTTGCTGTCAACAGTATTTTTTAACGGCTCGGTAAATCGTACGCATTTGCTTTGTGACTTATTCATGGATTAATTATACGTCGAATCGAAGAAATAATATTCGAAAAATAATATTTATATTCGCTCTTACACTAAATGTTGCCCTAATAAATTACTTGTACAGCTATATAATGTAGTACCGTAAGTTTCTGGAGTGACTCGTGAATGCGTGTCACGCCTCCGCGAACCGTGCGGCTGTGCGACTTAATTAAATAATTATTAACGCGACGTGTTCGCGCGGTGCAATCCCGTCGACTTCATTCCCGCTTCCGCGAAAATGCAATATTAGCTTCAACATCTTCTTCATCTGGCGGAAGAAGAAATTACAAGTGTTCTCAAATCCTTTCTTCTTTCATCGATACTTCAATGTACCTTTTAGCCTTCTGCCTAATGAAGACTCTGACGCTTCAATGTGCTTGTAATGCGAAAAAATATTGAAACGTGATATTTCTTAAGATAAATCAACAGATAAAAAATTTTATTATGTAAATAAATTTACATTTTATATTTCCCAAATAATTCTCGCGAGATTTTTATTTTACAAAAAAAAAAATGTTTTACATCTCTTGATCTTTTTACATAAAATTTTCTTATCCCAATTTTAAAAATAATATCTGGTATGAAGCACTTTAAAGAGTATTTGCGAAATGTTTTATGATTGCTTTTTCGTATTTCATATTCACTAAATGACATTGATAGCTCGAATTGAAAGTCGACGATCGGGAATGCGAATTTTCATTAAACAGATTATGTATAACGCGCGTCTACATAGGATTTTAGGATTAATAAGTACATAATAAATATTTTAAGAAATTACATCCTTATCAGCCATTCCGTCCATGAAAGGCCTTCTGAGCAAACGTGCCCATATAAGACGGCGCACTTTGCATAGGTCAGTGACGTTGCACGCGAGAACGAAGGGAAATCGATAAGAATTTTATCGCGAGCCGCAGCGAGCCGAAGTGCATTGTGTGTATTTTAATTCTTGCAAAATCTCGCGACAATGTAAATTCAAATGATATTATATAGATATTACAATACCGTTATTTACATTTGTAAACACAAATTTTATCTAACAGTCATTAATATTGATAAAAAATTTTAGAAATGTCAAGTTATGTTGATCGATTTTAAAACTTGAATGTGTAAAAAGAATTTAAGAGATATTATAAAAAAGTGAAAATAGATTTATTGCATTGAAATGCAATTTGCTCAAAACAGATGCGCTCAACAACTACTTGCTCCCTCGAGATTGTTCTCTTTTCCCTGATTGGGAGGAAGTGCTCGATTTTAATGCTCAATTTTAATGACTGAATGTGCAAAAAGTGTGCTCAAACTCATAAAATGTTATTGACGATTAATAATATTTAAAATAAATTTTGCTTTTAATTAATTTATATTTTGTATTATTTTTTTAATATGAATTTATACATGAATTAATGCATAAAGCAATTTCATGCAATTTCAACTTCCTATTTCAATATTTCATTGCAAAGATTCTTTATGAATCTTTTTTAAGAAATTAAGTAAATAATATGCCGTATTGAAGTACAGTTTCAATTTTTGACAGAACTTCATATGATTTTTATTCATTGATTAATCTTATAAAATCAAATTAGAAGATTAAAAAATTGCTATTTTAATATCTAA